AAGTGGCACTCGTGGCCTTCTTGGACATTGAAGGTGCATTTAATTGCACCACAACCGACTCTATCAGACAGGCCTTGGTTAGACACGGGGTTGGATCAATCCTAATAGATTGGGTCCTCTCTACTCTGGAGGGTCGGGTAACAACAGCTATGCTGAATAACGTAAGCTGCAGCGTAGCTAAAGGCTGCCCTCAGGGCGGAGTTCTGTCACCCCTACTGTGGTGTATCGTGGTGAACGAACTCCTCGTTAGGCTCAGCAGTATGGGTGTCTATGCGCAAGCCTATGCTGATGACGTAAGTATAGTAGTTAGGGGGCGTTTCTGTAGAACAGTCTCGGAAATTATGCAGGGCGCTCTGCGCTCCGTGGAATCGTGGTGTAGGGAAGTCGATCTTTCTGTTAATGCTGAAAAGACCGAGCTGATCGTATTCACTAAGAGAAGAAGGCTTGACGGACTGGTCATGCCGACCTTCTTTGGGACTAGATTAGTTTTGTCCCAGTCAGTGAAATATCTGGGAATTATCCTGGATTGCAAACTGAACTGGAGAGAGCATGTGGAACACAAGGTTAGCAAGGCTCGCAATTCGATGTGGGCTTGTAGACGTGTTGTCGGTGTAAGGTGGGGGCTTAAACCCAAAGTGGTATACTGGCTCCACACGACGATAGTACGTCCATCTCTCTTGTACGGCTCCCTGGTCTGGTGGCCTTGCATTAGAACTGAGTCAACTAAGGCCAAACTCAATAAAATTCAGCGTTTGGCCTGTATTAGTATTACAAGCGCAGTGCGAACAACGCCATTGAGTGCAATTTAAGCTCTGTTGGATCTCCCACCGTTGGATCTGGTGATCCGCGGAGAAGCGAGAGTAGTCGCTTATCGACTGTGGAGTCAGGGCAGCTGGGCTTTCTTGAATCCGGTTAAGGGGCATACTGCCATCTTAGTCGAATTAGAAAGGGATGACCCCGTCCTTCTAAGCAGGGGTGATCGTATTACCCCTAAATATCGCTTCAACCGCAAGTTTATTGTGGAGTATCCAACGAGGGAGGAGTGGGATGCCCGAAGTGAGCGGGCAGGTCTGGTACACGGACGGCTCGGTCACCGAAGAGGGCTCAGGTGCTGGGGTCCCTGGGCCTAGAACTAGGCTATCTCTGCCTCTCGGAGACGGCGGACACTCTGGCGAAAACAGGATCAGCCAGCAAGCCCGTTGGTCCTGAGCCAGCTCTAGGAGTGACCGCGCATAAAGCTAGGAGGAAAATGGAGACGTGGGTTGCAAGACAACACTCTCAGAAATGGAGAAGTATCTCTAGACATCTCCGCCAGGCACGAGAGCTCATTGAAGGGCCCAGTGCTAAGGATGGACGCTTCTGCCTATCTCTGGGTAGAGCCAACCTAAGGTTGCTGGTGGGACTGTTGTCTGGCCATAACACGTTAAGGCGGCACCTGCACGTGAAGGGGGTGGCTGAGGATCCCTTGTGCGAACGCTGCGGAGTAGAGGAAGAGACCTCGGTGCACGTTTTGTGTCGCTGTGAAGCTCTGAGCTACTATAGGCAGACTATACTGGGGTTCATTACTTTGGACCCTCAGGACGTCAAGGAGCTTGGACTCAAGGCGATTCTCAACTTCGCTAAAAGGGCGAGGGTTGTGATTTAAGTATTGTAGAGGTGCATAAGGGCCCGCTTAAGCGGCCTATGCACTGGCTCCTTATGGTGGCCGGGATGCCTCTAAATTTTAAGATTCATTCATTCATTCAATTGTAGATCGTTGCAAGTCTACAGAAATGTCCAAGCAGCATAAAAAAGGAGAAACAGTAGAGCAAGTCATCTTCGTAAAGCAATGCAGGAAATGCGGCAGAGAGCATGCAGTTAGAAAAAGTTCGGCATTTAACAGAACTTGTCCGAATTTCAGAGGAAAAATCATTTCGCCAAGACGTGCCACTTCGAAGAAAGGAAGCAAGGATTGAGCATGAATGAATGAATCTTGAAATTAGAGGCATTCCGGCCACCATAAGGAGCCAGTGCATAGGCCGCTTCAGCGGACCCTTATGCACTCGGTTTCCGTTCGGTAAGGCATTAACAGCTGTAAGTCGCACGCGACCGAAAGTTAGGTTAGGTAGTCAACAGTGTGAAAGGGGCAAAGTACTAGCGCTGTGCCCCCGTCCTGGTGCAGTGAGAAGTTTGGTTTAAAGACTAGTGCCCTTTTGGCAGAAGTGGTGAAAGTGGTGGTGCAGTGTTGGGTGACACAATCTCGGATTTCTCTAAGTCCGCGAAAAATGTGGGAACCTTGTTTTTGAAATAACCCTCGTAATTAACAGACATTTGTGTCTGACATCTGCGCCACACGAGCGGCTTTTATCGAAGGCTGGGCAAGCAGTCTTGTCAGCTGAAATAGGTTTTAAGCCGATACAGTTAAAAAATTCATGTTTTTAAAGGGACATTTGTATTTAACATTTTCACTTTAACACCGTTTCAATTTCCTCATGAGTTCGAATGGATGATCTTTTTTTATGAAAGTTGGCTAGTATTTATTTCTTTCAGCCTTTATAACTAACAGCATTTGTCATCTTTTTTCGTAACTTCCAGACACACAGCTATACAGGGTGTTATTTAAGTACGTGGACAAGCGTCAGAAGTATCAAACTTTTTTTTTAAAATCGGTTTCCTTAATGTATTAATTAATGAACTTTCTGTCGATTTTGTTCAAATTTAGCAGTGGTATTAAGGGTAATGAGAAGCCAAATTAGCCCCAATTAGATTGAAATTATTAAATCCAGTGGGGTCCCGAAAAACACCCTAACCATCATCTTTGACAAAAAATTTGTGCGCCACTGACTTTTTCAATTGTTCTAAGCGGCTAAGAATACAACTTTTTGGGTCTTGGGTTTCTTTCATATTATCTCACTTCGTTTGCGAGATAAAAAATAAAAAGCACTTTATTGCATGTTTTTGATAATTAAGATACACGAAATTCGTCTTTTGAATGTTACTGCTCAGATTATACCTGCTGTCGATAAAACAAATAAACATAAAATATTTACATAGCGCTGGAAATTAAAAAAAAAATAGACCGGGAAAACGTTTTTTTTTTAAACTACACTTAAACTTTTGTTTCAATAAAAACATTTATAGTTATAATAGTTGCTGAAAATGCCCTCATCGCAAGCATTAGCTCGGCTTAATATTAATTGTCGAACTCGTTGAAATATTCCCGGCATGTCTTATTTGATGATCACATGAATCTCGTATCCGTTGGGTTAATTCTTCTTCAGGGTTCTTGAGTTTTGTAAACGAAGGACTTTAAATACCCCCAAAGAAAAAAGTTAACGGATTTAAATCCGGTGGCGTAGGTGGAGAAAGTTGTATCCAAATATTGTCGAGCTACTAGGCTGAAGAGAGGTGGAGCTCCATCGTGCATAACCATATTGCTCCTCTTACTTCCAGCGGGACATTTTCTAGAAGTTCAGGTGAAATAAATTCCAACAACTGACGATACTCTGGACCATTTAATCTCGACGGTAAAAAATGAGGTCCAATGAGATAATCACCTACAATACCAATTCAAACGTTCACCGAAAACTGTTGTTGATAATCATTTTTTGTAACCGCATGGGTTTCAGCACAGATATGATTATTGCGAAAGTTCATAATTGAAGTTTGGGAAAAGCACGTTTCATCCGTAAATAAAATACGGGATAGAAATTTCATAAACCTGTTGTTGCAAAAGCAAACAATAAACGACTGGTTGTAGAAAATTATTATTAATAATTTTTAGTGATTGGGCCTTGCAACAGCTTTTATCGAAAAATTGTGTTGAGCGATGTGGCTCAGTTTTGGCTAAATGGATATGTTAACAAGCAAAATTGCCGCATCTGGTGTGATAAGGCTATATAAGAATTGCCCAAACAATACGGACAACGACGAACGATATCGATCCATGATGCGTAACTTTTTATTGCCCAAATTGGATGATCTGATTTGGTTGACATGTGGTTTCAACAAGACGGCGTCACATGCCACACAGCACGTGAAACAATGGACATTTTAAAAAGTAAATGACAAGAACCAGTTTATCGATTCCAATATGGATTTTGTAAAGATAATGCATTTTTAGCTGTTTTATTCAGTGTTTCAAAAAAAGGCTCTTAAAAAATCACCCGTTACAATTATTTACCAGAATCTGATAAACTCTTAAAAAATCACCTTAAGAGGATGCTCTTATCTAACCCTTTCTACAGCATAGATGAGTTCCTTGTGGTTTTGAACGACCTGAAATAATTCAATTGTAAGGAGGTCCATTAACTTGGCATTCACATGCATGTTTTAAATTTTCTATATTCAGTTTGTTTGTTGTTCTTTTAGTTTGTGTTTTATTTCATCTTTACTTTTTGAAATATTCCGTGTTACACGTGACGTGATCCTCTCTATACTTATGTACAGTGTTCGGACCTAATAAAAGAATTTGAATATGATGTTTTCTTATGTTAAACCAAGTGATATACATATAAAGAAACTCAAAAGGCAAAATAGTTGTATTTTTAGCTGCTTAATCCGAAAAAATAGAATGGAAAAAAGTCAGTGACGCATAAATTTTTTGTCAAAGATATCGATTAAGGTGTTTTCCGGGACGCCACTGGACTTAATAATTTCAATCAACTGCTCTTAATGCCACCGCTAAATTATCGATATTCAGGGAAAAACGATTTTTCAAAAAGTTTAACACCCTGTATCTGAAAATGAAGAATTTCTGGACCTATGTTTTCTATAAACTTTTCAACTTAAAATTACTCATATAATCACCTCCTGAAGTTTGGCCACGTGCTTAAATAACACATTCTATACCCTTCTGTCTACGGTGGTGTTCCGACTTATTTCTTCTATCTCATTCATTCACTCACACCTAGTTCGATAGGATCATCGGAATCCTCTAATACCAGTTAACGAGTTTTTCAAGGAATGATGAACTAGTTCACTTAATTCAATCGTAAAAAACTGTTCAATGAAACTAGTTCGTTCGCAAACTGGTACGTAGGCTTATTTTCGCGCAGGCACGACTTTCAATTATATGGAATATGTTAATCAATGACTACATAACAAGATCTTAGACTATCTACCTCATATAACAGCCAATTTCTGTCTCCGTTCGTGACGTCGTCGTACGAATAGCGTGTCCTCACAAGCACCAGGGGCAGCTGGTCAGACCCGCCTCGTTAATGGGCGGTGGTCATCGGCCCCCGGTGGGCGTGTCTTCTTGGCTCCGCGCTTACGCGCTCCGACCATCGAATTTCTCCGCTCCGCCCCCTCGTTGTCGTCGTCCTCGCTGAGCCGCGAAGAGGAGTCGTCCGCGTTGCAGAGTCGACACCGGCTGCATGCGATACACGGCGCAGCTAACAACAGGAGCGGCGAAGCGGCCAGAAGCAGGTTGCCGAAGCTGGCGAAGATGCCGACCACTTGCGTGCGATGCCACAGAAGGAAGTCGTCCTGTAAAAATACGAGAGACATTGTAATAAACTGTTTTAACAAAATTCAAATATCGAATGCTTCGGGCGGAAAGAGTTATCGATTTGCGGTATTCGGGAAGTTCTTCAACAACTCTTTGAGAAAACGTACAGGGTTCGATTGGTATATTTCTTTTATTTATCAACTGATACAGGGTGAGCAAAAGTAAGTCATGTTTTTTAGCAAAGTTTGGGGCTATGTCATTCCAATAGTTCATAATAAGAAATAAAATGTTGAAAAGCTACAAGCGTTTTAAAATTATTCTTTTTAAATGTATCATTTTCTTTTTTTTTTTACCAACTTATTCGATAAAAATCTCCTAGCAATGAAATGTACTGGGCTGATAAAGAAGCTTTAAACCCCCGAAAAATAAGACCGACGGGGTCTCAGAGCCGGTTTTCAGTCAATGTGTGGATGGGCGTCATTGATGGATATTTAATTGGACCTTATTTTCTGCCCGCCAATTGAAATGTAGAAGTGTATGAAGAGTTCTTGAAAAATCACTTGTTTCCATTAATGGAAGACGTCCGATTGGCGAAGAGACAAAATATGCGGTTCCAACACGTCGGCTGTCCCGCACACTACAGTAGATTAGTATGGGCGTATTTAAACTCTAAATTTCCAAATCAATGGATTGGCAGAGGCGGGCCCATTGCCTGGCCAGCAAGAAGCCCAGATCTCACACCGATGGATTACTATGTGTGGGGACATATGAAAAGCCTGGTGTATGATGTTTCGCCTGTACCAACGCGCGATGAATTAATTACAAGGATAATCAGTACAGCTGACCAAATAAAAAGCCGCTTAACAACTAGAGTTAAGAAAAGTGAATTACGTAAGAGAATGTGGGTGTGTATTCGTAACAAGGGATTACAATTTGAGCAGAATCTGTAAAATCCTAAAGGAAATGTAATTAAATAAAACTGTAATTAAAATAAAAGCCTTTTATTTATCCTACGTAATTATCGTTCATACAACTTTACTCATCTTTTTTTAATTTTATGTCTTTGTAGTTGAGTTAGTTAGTTGGAACTTTTATACCTCAAATGAAAGCTTGTTAAATAGAGATATTGTTTACATAATTTGCGCATTTTGTTAGTAGGAGATTTTTTACAGAAAATTGTATTTTTATCGAATAAGTTAGTAAAAAAATAAGAAAATCATACATTTCAAAAGCGTTATTTTAAAACTTTTGTAACTTTCCAACATTTTATTACTTATTATGAACTATTGGAAAGTCCGCTATGCGACGATAACAAAAAACTCAAAATCAAACATGTAGTTTTTATGTATTTCAAATTTAACCGTCTGAAATCGGAATAAAAAATAAAAAAAATAAAATTCAAATAACTCAAAAACGGTTAACTTCTGGATAGGACATGATAGGACAAAATCGGTTGCTTTTGACCTAATCTATCACCCTAGCGGCCTATGCACTGGCTCCTTATGGTGGCCGGGATGCCTCTAAAATTCAAGATTCATTCATTCATTCATTCAATCTATCACCCTTCAATAGGAATACGTGGCATTACAAGTCACCCTGTATATTTGTTATTTTACAATAATAAAAACACTTCATTATTATTATTATTATTATTATTGTATTATGTAATTTAAACAGAATTTATAAATTGTACAATGCAATTAAACAACAAATCCAAGTTACTACTTTCAATATAGGATGTATTCCAGTGGCGTAACAACAAAAGCATTTTTCGGTTTGGTAAGAAGTGCTATTAATTTAAAAAAATATATATATTTTTCAAAATGCTATGATGTTGGCCAACACTGCTTTTCATATTTTATCTATATTTTTTTAACTCTGTCAACTACATCAAAGAATTTATTGATTAACATTAACAAAATGTAACATTTTAGAAAACAAAAATCTGAAGACCAGTTAAATACCCAAATTATTTATTCATGACAAAAACGAACTTTTTACAAACAGCAACAGTTATTTTAAACAATATTGTTAGTACCTTGTAGGGTCACCCATCGATCACAGCCTACGATACTTTCCAGAAGGTAACAAATAAATTCTCGGGATTCATTTTCCCACTCTTCCTGAATAGCCCCAGACAGCTCCTCCATTGTTGAGGAGCATTTTGTCTTGATGCTCAATGATGTCTTATACAATTCTCTCGGGCTTTTTGAGAAAATAAAATTATACTATTAAGTCTACAGTCAATATTATTGTTATTGAGCAATTGCATGTTTGAGGTGTAGGTAGTGAGGACGAAACCGGAGAAAAGTCATAGAAATGTCCCGAAAACCATTTATTGCGGGAAGTTAAAAATTCGATAATCTAAGTTATAGCCAACTTTCGAAAAATATGAGTTCTCTTTTTTTAGGATATTCCAAAGATCAAAAAGATGCATACAGGTAAAACAATTGACAAGATCTGAAATTGGGGATCCGACAAGGAGTTGGTGAAGAACCTCCCGAATAGCGCAACTCGATATCTCTTTCCGTTCCGAAAATTTCGGATTTGAATTTGGGTAGGATTTTCCATTTTGTAAAGCAATTGTTCACCAGTTTAGATGTAAGAGTCAAACAAAAAATGGCGTCAAGTAGATTGACTGTATACTTCATACGCCTTCTTTGGAGGTTTCGGAGAAAAATGATGTGTTACGTCGTTCCAAAAGGCGGAATCAAATCGTGACTAGGGACGCTCACTTAGGTACGCCGAATCTTCAAACTGTATAAGATAATTTATATATTAGGGTAGGATCGCACAAGAGTACGCACTTAACCAATTTACTTTGTTTAAAAATAATTAAAATGCTTTAAGTTGAAATTTTTATTCAAAATATTTTAGCTTACATACTAATCTAAACTTAAAAGACAAATTTTGCCATACATTTTAACATTTAACGAAAATATAAAAGTTTAAACAAAAACAATAAAATGCGTACTCTTAGGATACAGGTTCCTTAAGAGTACTCAATTGTGTCCTAAAGAGTACGCATGTAAACCAAAGAGTACGCGGTAAGATATATCGCCCAATTGGCTGTACCTAAACTTATTCTTTTAAATGTAGGCATAAGTCACAAGAAAATAGGCCATTTCCTAGATAATTAGAGCAGTCATCATGCCACCATGTTTGACACAAGTGACACTTAATCCAATCGGATGTAGAATAATGCTCGGAACATCCGGGACAAATCGTATTGTCTTTTTCATTGTCAACTTTTTTCTTCTTCTGGATTTCTGTATTTTGCCCAGAATCACCAAAAACTTTTCTTTTTCCTCCCTTTTTCTTTAGGCCTTCTTTACGCCTTTTTCTTCCAACAATTTGTCTTTGTATGGGGTAGATGACAGGATTTCCGACTTTTTAGATTTAGTTCTTCTTACTTGTTCATGGGTAGCTTTTGGTAACGGTAAAATCATTTTAGGAGTAATACAAACACTTAAACCTAGATCAATCGGTGCCGCAGACGTAGCCTCAACATAAGTTGAAATTTTGGTAAAGCCTGTACTTTTTGGACTTGGTGTTCTAGTTTGCTCATTTTCAAATAATTTTTCCTTATCGTTTTTAGGCGGGATATAGCCACTTGTACCTGGTTCACTTAGTTCCTTAGGAGCTGCTTTAAAGTAAGCTGTACTTTCAGTAACGTCTGAACTTTGTGGTTCGGGAATCGTAGATTGCTTTTCTTCGGTTAATTTTAAGTTTTCTTTTATTATGGTATTTCTTACTTCTGCAAGAGTGCAATCGTCATCAAATGAACTCTCTTCAACAGATGATTCGATTCTTTGTATTTCAGATTGAGTTTCTTGGGCCAGGTCTAGATGTGGTCTGTTTGTGACCTCAGATGGAGCAAAATCTAAATCACTAAAAACGTCTGGGTTATAAGGAAACAACCCAGTGCAAGCAAATGATTTTTCACATATTTCTATAGTAGTGACTTTTGAATAAGCAAAATGGAAAATGGCAGCCATTTCTTTTAAAGTAATAGGGCGTCCAGGGTTGTTGACCATCCATTTATCGCATTCGTTTGAAAAAGCTGTTTTTAAGGGAAAGAAAAATCCTTTATCTAAGGGTTGAATTTTATGGCTTGCATGAGGAGGTAGGGTTAGTAGCGTTATAAAATGACTTCTAGAGAATAAAATGGTCTCCAATGAGCAATGAGATGTGTGATTGTCCATTATTAAAACCACTGGATCTGTTTCGGATGGTTTTACAAAGTCGCAAAAATGTCGCAACCAAATTACAAACAAATCAGTGTTCATATAACCTGAATCTGAGATCATTTTTAATGTCCCAGGAGGTGCTCCAAAAAAAAGTTCCTCCTTCATTCAACCCAAGTACCACCAGCGCTCATGCAGCATACAGCCGTAACTAGCTGACCTCGTTCACCTGATACAACTTTTGACACAGTTTTCTTCCCTTTACAAGCATAAACTTTTGGGAGCTTGTTTGGTACGGTAGATAATCCCGTCTCGTCCATATTAAAGATCCTGTGTGGTGGTAGTTTTAATTTTTCGTAAACTATTTTTAAATTTTCGAAAAAGCGTTGACACTGAACTTTATTAAAGCCGATAGCGCGACCTAAGCTGCATTTTTCTGGAGCTCTGAGAGACAAAGTATTTCTTGCTGCAAAATCTTGTACCCAGTGTTTCCCCGCCATCTTGTTTTCTGTATTAAACCTATGCGGAATTTTATTTAATTCTGCATACTGAAAGGCCAAGTACCTAACATCTTTCATACGCAGTCCATAAAATCTGTTATCTAGATCTTTGATATGGTCAGCCAATTCCTTTTCCTGTGCTTGTGAAAATACAGGCTTAAATCTACCCAGACTAGATGGAATAGTACCCTAAAATAAAAATAAAATTGCATTTTGACGTTAAAATCGTCAGTTTATTATTACCTCTCGCAATCTTTTTCTTAATGTACACTCATTCACATGAAAGGACTTTGCGACCGATCTTTTACTTTCCCCTTTTGCGATGCGGTCCCTTGCTTGGTCGATGATTTCTTGAGTAAATTTTAATGATCTATCGCTCTTTCGCTTGTATTTACCCATTATAACAAACTAAAACAAATAATAAGAAGTCATTTCATGTGTCCCTAAGAGTACGCACGAATCCTAAGAGTTCGCATGCGTACTCTTTGCCTGCGTACTCTTAGGAACCTTGACATGAAAAATTTAAACACTGAGTTACAAATTTAGGCAACCAGAAAAACTGTATGTATGTCGCTAAGGATCAACTGTAAACATTACTGTTTAAGGCATATTTACGATTTTTTATAAAAATTTGCGATTTAATTAAATATTACTTACCCAGTAAGTTCAAAATATTACATGTAATTTCAGGAAAACTATTTTTTCCGCATATATGTTACGCATTTGTTAAAAATTGTCAGCAAAACTACACAAACTCTTGGGACAACTAACAACTAACTACTGACGAGACGACAGCCGACTGGCGGGGATAACAATAAAAAAATGACGATCGCGTACTCTTATGGAACGCGTACTCTTAGGCGATCCTACCCTACATATTTATCTTTCCTTGACATATGTAGGAAAAATACAGGGTTGAGTCATTTATTCTAACTGTTTTGTAGGACTCGTCAAAAGAAGTTTATATACCAACAATCGCCTATATAAAAGTTGCATGTTCAATTATATTCTGGAAAAAGTTGAACACCTTGTAACTAAAAATTGGTGAAACCTCCACAGACAGCTAACCGAAAAAATAGCCGTAAAAATCATCATGTGTCTAGTATTAAAAAAAAAAGCTTATAAAAAATTAAATCCAAACTTAAGGTAAGTCTGCAACCTTCAACCGACGATTTTCCAGCAAGAGTGCGGTTTTGTGAGTGGTTGTTGCATCAACATGACAATAATCCGGACTCTTTGAAGTGCATATTCGTGTGACAGACGAATCTACGTTCACGCGTAATGGGGTGAATAACATTCGATTTCAGGCAGAGACGTACTTAGCCCTTCTCGTCAACTGGAGAGTGAGTACTTTTTCCTTTATTTTTTTTACTTGGTCGCCCTCGTTTCACTACACATTACCTTTGTTATTTCAAGGGTAGTTGTTTCTGAAAAGGAAAACCCCAACTTTGCGGACACCCTGTATATATATATATATATATATATATCAAATAAAGACATTGAAACTGCAATAGAGCTGTTAAATAATGATATGAAAAACGAAATAAATTGGTTAAATGTAAACAAACTTAAACTAAACACAAACAAAACAAAATATATGCTAATAGGAAAATCTTTAGATCAAAATATGATAAATCTTACATTTAATCATGAAAAAATTGTGTCAATCGATTCATTTAAATATTTGGGCATATACGTAGATAGTAAATTAAAATTTGAAGGGCACTATGAATATATTATTTCAAAAATATCATTCTTCCTCATTTGTTATATTGTTCAACTATTTTGTTCACTGCAAATGAAACTGTATTTTCAAAATTGCAAATATTACAAAATAAAGCTATGAGAATAATTTTAAATAAAAATAAATATACTTGAATAAATTTTCTGCTGAAAGAACTACTATGGTTAAATATCAAAAAATTCATACCCTACTTGGTTTTCATTTTCATATTCAGGTTGAAAAAGCATCTTCTACCAAATCACTTAGAAAATTTTATTGTATTGAACAATGAGTGCCACAATTATTCTACTATTCATTTACAAAACTGCAGTAGCAATAACGAGCAAGTCGGGATTTCAAAAGGGATTGTACAAATTTAATAAATTAAGTAATGATATCAAGATGTGTGTCAGTTTGAAAATGTTTAAAGGGAAATTGAAAACATATCTCATGGAAAACCAGAATTCTTAGTAATGAAAATATGTAGTCTTGAAGACATAATATATTTTGTGAAACAAACAAATAAATTGAAAATATAACATATCTACTTTAGATAAAAGTTCTTGAGAATCTTTCTTGTTCAGAATAACTCAAAAACTCTAAAACAACTTTGTCTGCAGTGCAAACGGTTAAAAGAATCTCGATTTTTGATGCAATTTACGGCCTTGACGGGTGTCGGTCCTTTTTGAATGAGATTATTCAAAAAAAAAATTAATCAGAATATTTTTCCCAGCAGATGCGAAGATAGGAAGTATCTACTAAGCTACAATCAAATGTACTCACGTCTAGGCTGGCGAGGCAATACCAACAAAAGACGTGCTTGCACCTTTTGCACATCATCTGCGCGCAGCCCTCGTCTTTTTCGATAGGAACGTTGCACATGGGACAGCATTTGATGAGATCCGAATCAAACGGTATGCCGACGTCTTCGGGTTTGCCCTCCTGCAAATTTTTAAGTGAAAATTAACTGAATTATCTCGGATAAGGTATTTTTGGAAAAAATCGGCAGTGAGTGTTTTGGACGATAAATAGACGTCCAATTTTCTCGTCGTGGCCTAACGATTCTTCACTAGCCCGAAAAATAGATTGGGAAACATTTAAAACACATTTATACAATTTTCGCTTTTCGTCCCTTGTTCATTGGATAAATTTGGTAGAATCTGTGTTAGGAAATCTTTTGTCATAACTTAACAGTGAATTGTGTAGTCTACCACCAACTCTGAGAATTCCATTATCATCTAGAAAAACACCAAGTTTGCTTAGCGGTTTAGAAGCGACCTTATTGGCATTTAAACTATAAATATCTGAAGAAAAGTATTGACTTTGAGTGTGCTTGAGCAAAGCGTGCATTTCGTTCTTCAGACATGAAGCGATGAGCGGAGATAAAAATTTTGTTTTGGGATGCCTAGCGTTATAAATAAATCTTTGAATATATGCATAACGCTGAAAATTTGATCAAAAGCATATCCATTATGTTCGAATCTATGTTTGACATAAGAGCGGTTTTTCTTTGCTCATTGTCCACACAGTGTGGTATGTTTATTGGAGGACATGCGGTGGGTGCATATGGATGCGACAATAAAGCAGGGCCTGCCCACTACTGTCCATAGTTTTTAAAATCTAAGGGCTGTAAACCACGAGATGCGCAATCTGCGATATTATTTTTCGAAGCCACATGATACCACCGAACATCAGGTAGCATTTCTTGAATGCTTGATATCCTATTGGCTACAAATGGTTTTCATCTGTGTGGTGAGGAATTAAGCCAATATAAAACGATTGTAGAATCTGTAAATGGGAAAATATGTTTGAAGGAAATTTTATTACTATATGTGTCAATAACAAAGCGCAATAGTTGAAACAACAAAAATGCTTCTAGTAGTTCACATCGCGGTATAGAAACTTGCTTCAAAGGGTTCACCTTAGATTTCACGCATAACAGAGAAGTCTGTATAGTGGAATGCGTAACAATTTACATCAAAGCTACGGCTGAATGAGCGTGTGAGCTGGCATCAGAAAAACCAACAATTTATGTAGTTATAATGTTTAGGTAAAACTAAGCGGAGTATACAGGGTGTTCCTTACTGATATGCAAATATTTAAGGGTGTAAATCTACATGAAAAATTAAGGTTAGTTTGCTTTATAAACTACGGTCCAAAAATGTTTCCTTACAAAAAGGCGGGATGTTGAAGTTTTAGGAAAAACATGGAAATTAATTAATATTTTCAGAACCGCTTCAGATATTTCACTGATATTTAGTACGTAGTGAAAGTTGATAAAGCTGCATATTTTTCAATGCAAAAATAATTTTTAGCTTGGCGTGAGTACGGATATTGACTTCGATATTTTTTAAGAAAAAAAAATGGTACGCCAATGGTTTTTTGCCAAATAAAAATTATTTTTGAATTCCCCGTTCAATTTAAAACAACTGATCTCTCTTGAATTGTTTTCCTTCGATGCGCCATTTTTCAGTAAAAAAATAAAAACCGTTCTATTGTCCGGGAAAATTAATGTAATAATTGAAGAATACAATTTAGCAATAAATATCTAGTTGCTCTGGAATATGTCACTGGCTTTTGACATCTGACAAGTCTCTGTTATTCAAATCTGTTCGCTGCGACGTCTTTTTGATTATTTAGTTTTTACAATCTTGTTAATAATAGTGAATTATTCAAATGGTAATGGTGAGCCAGCCAGACGGATTTATCACCAGAGATATCCAGATCGTGCTTCACCAGATAGTCGAACCTTTTCTAATATTCATCGTCGTCTTATTGAAACTGGTTCTGTCCGAAAAGGAACATCTGAAGATGGACCTCTAAGTGTGAGAACACCTGAAATTGAGGAAGCAATGCTGCACGAAGAAGAAAAACCTCCTTAAACGAGTACGAGGAAGATCGCTAGACACGTAAATATTTGCCATCAAATTGTTTGGAGAATTTTAGTGGATTTTTTGTTATATCCTTATGTAGTAATGCCTGTACTCTTCAAATATAATAAGGATATAACAAAAAATCCACTAAAATTCTCCAAACAATTTGATGGCAAATATTTACGTGTCTAGTGATCTTCCTCGTACTCGTTTAAGGAGGTTTTTCTTCTTCGTGCAGCATTGCTTCCTCAATTTCAGGTGTTCTCACACTTATAGGTCTACCTTCAGATGTTCCTTTTCGGATAGAACCAGTTTCAACAAGACAACGATGAATATTAGAAAAGGTTCGACTATCTGGTGAAGCACGATCTGGATATCTCTGGTGATAAATCCGTCTGGCTTGCTCACCATTATCGTCGGCAAGGCCATATACGTAATGAATTTCCGCCATTTCTGCATTTGAATAATTCACCATTATTAACAAGATTGTAAAAACTAAATAATGAAAAAGACGTCACAGCAAACAGATTTGAATAACAGAGACTTGTTAGATGTCAAAAACCAGTGACATATTCCAGAGCAACTAGATACTTATTGCTAAATTGCATTCTTCAATTATTACATTAATGTTCTCGGACAATAGCACGGTTTTTTTTTTTTACTCAAAAATGGCGCATCGAAAAATATATCAGCAGAAGGAAGCCATTTGTATCCTAATATCTTGATACTAGCGTTTGCTTCAGTGTCAAAAGACAAAGCGTACTTTGATGCTTGGCAATCAAGCGGTAAATTATTTAAAAATTCTTTTCTGTTGCTAGCCTATTTATGCAGCTTGAAACATCCTTTAGAAAGACAATCAATTAAATCTCGCTGCAGAGATAAAACTTCATCTAAATCAGTACATCCCGTGCAAATATCATAACGCTCTTTCCTCGGGGTCAATAACTGGCGAACTACCTGCCTCTTTAGTTCAGCAACTCCTCGGACGCCAGCCTCTTGTTTAGAGTGTGGAGACAACACTATAGACTGAAAGTCACCTGGGTAGCTTCAGTGAAGAAAATAATTCAGGGATTTGATGCTTTACGCTCAAAAGGTCACACTCGAAATACGTACTCTTTACCATCTACTTCTACTACTTCTCTTTTTGCATCTCTTACTTCAGGCAGGACGGTATTTGTGATTAAAAACAAGACTTAGGGCCAATTTCACCAACAACAGTCCCTTATTCTCAACCAATAGGGTAACTGACCGTCAGATACAGCGAATGAGCTTCAAGTTCAACAAATTTTAGCAACCAATAGCTATCAAATGTTGAAAACAAAATACTGCCAAAGTATGAGATGACAACTTGTCATTGAAACATCACCAGCTTATTGAATATTAAGAAATTACATATAATTCAGTCATAATTTAAAGAAATGATTTTGGAATTAAATTCATGTTTTAATTACTGTTGTTGATTTTTTATTCATGTTTATATAATTTTCTTTTGATATGCTATTTTACTGGTTTCAACATACATAGCGTGTGTTCTTTTCCTATAAACCTCTTGCAGGTAGCCATTAAGCACCTACTTGATGACAGGCTCTACCAAAAAGTTCATAGATATTACTCGTTTCCAAACATTCATTCATTTACTTGTCGTTCATCAGAACCATTATGGCACCTGAGATTGATATTCCCACAAAACCATTCAGGTCTGTTGATATCCATACATCCATAAAGTTGAATATTTTCCGTTGTTCAGGAACCTAACAAAGATCCACCTCCACACATTCTAGGTTATATTTATATTAAGACATTATTTCAATACAGCTGATTGGCTGATTCACATGTGTGGGATCTGTCAACCCTTGGCCACAGTCACAAAACATTTATACTCTGAAGAAGGTTTAATTCCATGCTATTCCATGACAACAGGGTGACTTGTGTGGTTGTCAGCGGTCATTTTTTGAGGGAGCGACATGTTTGCCAGATTGTGCATTAATATCCCCTTTCACCACCCTGGTCCCAGGGGAGTAAGTTCCGCCAACTGTTGAAATATACTCTACTATGCTTTATAAGACTATTCGTGGAATTTTTCCCAAAATCGTTGCACAACACTTGAAAAAATGCATATGAAACTTTAAAATTATTTCCATGACGCCGCAAAATAGCTCCGTCGGTACCTCGGGTTATACGTCTTGACAGTAGGGATGCTCGATACGATCCTGTATTTAGAAGTATCAATACATTTTACGAGTATCGTCATCTTTCGATCCGGACTGTGTCAGAAAGAGTGACTAACTTCAGATTACTTTTCTTCCGCTGGATATCGATAATTTTATTCCAATATTTTAGAGTATCGATACTTCCTAAAACGATAGAAATCGATACATAACGATACTTTTCGTGGATCTAAACATCCCTAATCTTGACAGCTTGTCGTTTTTGTCAACTGGGCTGCAGGGTGCGGTGTTGCCTTTACTATCTTACATTTTGATAAAATGTTGACAAAGTAGGGCTTCAAATGAAATATTCACGCATATGAACGGATATGCATAGAATGTAGAATATAAATTCATATTGCAAATTTCAGAATGTCTATGCATGGACTTGAACCGGATTTTTCGGTATTTTTACCAAAAAGAGAATATTTACCGATAACATCATTCTCCCTGATTTTTCAAAATAATTTAAATATTTCTATACTTGCCGAAAAAGAGCTGAAACCAAAAATAAAGCTAAAAGTTAATTTTATGTAGTCTTCATAGTTTTATGCTCGATATCAATCATACATAGACATACACACTCGGGCAGTCGGGCACATGAGAGTGGTAGATTTTTGTTGCCTATGATTACGAACGTATATCTTCATCCCTTAACCCACTTGCCCTGACTTGATTTTCGTGCATACAAAAGGTACAGACTGGTAGATTACCGTCATTACTTCACCACCGGACAAGCAATAAACAAACCGAAACCTGCCTGTTTTCAAAATAAATATTTAATTAAAATGAGAGGTGAGTTCATGAGTTCAAGGGTAAAACAGAAAAATATATACAGTAGACTCTCAACTATCCGGCCTAAGGTGGCGGACAGCTAGTCCGGATAACGAAAAAGCCGGATAAGCCGAATCAATGTCCAAACATACGCAATTTTATTAAACGTATGTATTTTAACGCAGAACTTTGTACATATTAAGGCATGAGAAACTGCATAATTATCTATAGTACAATATACAATACATACATAATAATATGTATATTAAATACGTTTTAATAATCTATATATATATATATATCGTATATTACTTTTTAAAAAAGTCTTCTATTTTTACCTGCTTTGCCCTCTTTTTCGCTGACAAGTTCCTTCGCTTTCTTAAACTAATGATGTCTGCTGGCGTCGCTTCCTCCTGTTCAATCCTTTTTAGACCTTCGGAGTGTGGAATCCGATTGATTTGTTCGTCTTCAATATCTTCGGCGACGGTTTCGTTACTAACCACCATTGTAACAACATCATCGACGGTTATGTCGTCAGCTCCATCATTTTCTATCCAGTCTGTAACGTCCTCCAAATTCACGCTCTCACAGCCGACCACTTTCTTGCCTTTATTGCCTATCATGAGATAAATAACTTATTCAATTCGCAAATAAAACAACTCGCTTATATGTAACATACATAATACATAACATACATAATACATAACATACATAATACATAACATACATAACATAACATACATAATATGTATGTACATACTACATCACGTAAACTCCTTCAACCCGTAAACATTTTGTTTAGCGGCCCCCGCGTCCTAGGCGATCCGGATAAGCCGGAGTCCGGATAGCGACGAGCCGGATAGATGAGAGTTTACTGTACCATACTATAAGCAAGAATCGAAAAAGAAGTTTCCAGAATGGTTGCGAAGTACTTTGAAAGAACGAACAGTATGCACATTGTAGAAGTTGTAATATAGAACTATGCCCTCAAAAAACATGTTGTGTGCGCGCCCAATACAATAACAGACGTCTTTTATGTCTCAAAGGTCATCTATCACTGATCTTGGGACGGCATTTACCTTATACCGAATTCAACGACACTATTTGCCGATTCCGTTTTTTTGCCAGTTCGGCAACACTGCAGATGTGCAGTTCACTTTAATTGAAAGCAAATAATCAAATTCAAGCGGATAACCAAATTGAAATGGTATTTACCATTTTGGGTTGGTATTTACCAATCCGTTCAAGCGAGTGTAGTTATCAGTTTGGTTATAAGATCCGTGACGTCACGAATCAGCTGTTATATGTCATAGTTATCACCGCAAAATTATGGTATTTACCCAACTCAAGAGTAGTTTTATATTTCTGGTTATTATTTGAAATGTGACAAGTTAGAATTTTGCCGGGTATTGGATATTGTTATTGTAATTTGAGAAAAATGATACAGGCTGACTTCAGTTTTACCATAAAGTGGAGCACCTTATTAGTTATACTCATTACGGTTGTGTGGGACACTTTAAATGTAGTTCCTATGCTTAACAAAGTATCCTGTGTAGCCATATACCACAAGAATATTGAAATATGGCCATATAAACTCACTAGATGATATTCACCTGTATACGGTTTTGCTAATTTCTTTTCTCATCATTTCTGCTGAATCAATAAATGTTTTCTTTGACATGCGGAAAAATTTAGAGAATTGAAAGTTATCATAGCTACAAAGCCATGGTTCCATCATTAAAAAAAAATCTGAAAAAACATTTCTCCCATTAATATTATGAAAGGTTTCTTATTTAAACTTTCCATATACAGTTGTAGACGAAAAATCACCGATTATTAAGTGATAATAAAAACAATCAAAGATTATATACGCGCTTTTCTAAAATAAACAAGTTGCAACAAAACCGCGGTTAAAACCAACGCGTTCAAGCGATTCGTGTAACTGACGTCATCAACCCGTGTGTCATCTTGAACCATATTATAACCGCGGCACATAACACAGAAATTTTGGTTATTCGCTTGGATTTGATTATTGATATCCCAGGCCAGGGGGGTGAAACTCATATTGGAAACAAAGCAGTGTTGCTGGTGCATAATATGACAACCATGTCGCACCCTCAAAAAATGGCCGCGGACAACCATACAAGTCACCGTGTTGCCATAGAGTAGCATAGAATTAAACCTTCTTCAGTGTATATGTTATACTAATAAAAATAAGAAAATAAAACAATGTTTGGAGATATGTTTCCATAAATAGGTATTTTTGATTCTGACTTATAATATCTAGAATCTAGATGATGAATAATAGGTGGATGCGGATACTTTTACAAATATCGATGTTTTAGGACCCTGAAATGAAATGCAGAATGTGCTGTTTGTTTACATTTGGTGTGGATTTCTAGATCATAAATTGGCGAAAATTGTTTTTGATGTAACAAACGATGATGAACCAGTTGGAATACGTTTTATATCCTTTTTTTTTGCAAAATTGCAAAAATCCGTACATTTCTATAGGTACGTATTTTGTACAAGACCATGTACGTGACATACAGACAAAACTAGATTGCCATGCATGAACAGTTGTCAAAAACAGTGAAAACATCCTACCAAATATAATAGCTAGAAAATCGACCTATTATTTCTATCATTATGATTAGTCCATTTACATAACTGACTGTTATGTGTGAAACTGGAAATTCTATGAAAGTTATCCTAATTCTAAAGCACAAAGACATAATATTACATCTATAATGTACCCTAATTTATAAGGCAACCGTTTTTTCACGACTTTATTCAACATTTCAATAGAAATCACTGATATTCAGAGATCTTTGACAGCTTCCGTCAAATTGCATTTCAATAAGCTATTTTCCCATTGATCCAAGGGACCGTTAAATATTAATGTTGGTGAAATTGGCCCTTATAACACAACCTGGTATATTAACAGCAAAAATATATACACTTAATGCACGGTCGGGATATCTCAAGTTATATGTACAAATGAGAGAAATCCCTATCTGAATCTAACCACCCTAGAGATAGAGCGGAGAAGTGGGACAATCGGTTAACTCTGGGTCAAACGGAATCAAAAGCGGTCAAAAAGCAACGATTAAAGCGGAAGCCGTATGCGGTCAAGCTAGCAAGCGGTAATGGTGCGATGCGATAAGCCCAAAGCGATGAACGGTCTTGAGCAATATGGTTATGTTTGGGTGAAGAATTAGACCAGGCGTTTCGTTAACCCGCGTCTACTTCAAGCTCTGCTTGTCTCGTTCTCGCTTGGATTTCAATCTGCACCCCAGGGAAGTAAGCACACTGCAGACAAAGATGTGCCTCCCTGACTTGCTTCTTGAACCCCAGAGCAAATATAAGACTCCTAAAATCGAGCCGCGTACAATCGCTAATGGACCTTTACTAAACTAAGCTAATAGCTCCATCATGAATGTGTTTACCAAACCTTTTAAAAAAATAATATCGGAGACGCAACACTTCTCTATATCGGGAGCTTTACTGGGATATAATGATCACAATTAGATATTTGTACGTATCTTCCTATACTTCTGGGACCTTCAGGGACGTACAAATATATTATATATAATTTGAAAGGCCAACCAAAAAGAAAAGCACCGTTTGTTTCGGCTTCCAGTTTCTTGAGATAGAATTTCACTGCGCGATTGACATTAGGGTTAAGTCAGTACAAATTCCAGACAGTAGCCAGGTGTACCGAGGTTCCACTAGTCACTTCCGAAAAACTCGGTGTCTAACTTAGGTGGGAGTCCGGGATACCTAGCTCAATCGGGAATATCCTGATCTCTCCGGCTTACGCAAGTACAACCGAGTAAGGCCTGCCTCACTAGTCTCTTCCGAAAACTCGGTGTCTAACTTGCGAGGGAGGGGGTCGAACTCAGAGAAATTCAGAATACTGCCTGGTAGATGCGGTCGGGTACGTCGAATCACCAGTCGGATGTATAGATATGTGCAAATAATTTTCAATAATAGCGCTTATGGAGGTCCCAGAGTACCGCAATTAACTAACACTGCCGCACAGAGTATATCTACTTGACACAAGTCCAAACGTAGATAACAAGATCTAATAAGCAATATCTCATTTACGCCGTTCTCGTTTTGAATTTATATCCTTCAACTTCTTCACTAAGGCTCAAATTTAAATTACGCTACGGCTGGTAAACCCATTCATAGACGGTTTTGTTCTAAAATATTCTCAAAGTCTAACCCACAGTTTTTTTTTCACAAACTAGTTCGGTCAATATTCAAAAATAAACGGAAAGCAAACAACTCTCTTCTTAAAATTCGAATGTCAAAGATATACACGGAAAACAGTACACTACAATTTCTATGACTAAGGCCCGTATCGTCAGTCGTCCCTACAATTGTAGGGCGCGTTTATGGCCTCCTTGATTGTCATACTCTTTTCTCTCCTTCAAAGATTTCTAGATTACACTCGTCCCGTATCAGCGTCAGCGCTCTCCTATTGTTAATATAATTATGTTTTCATTTTAAATTGTAGGAAATTTCAGGCTGATAAAACATGATATAACTCAAAAGCAAGCACAATTTGATGCAAATAGATGTTTGTGACATAACCTCAAAATAGAGCGCTGACACGGAGAAGTAGAAAACTATGACAATCAAGGAGGCCACAAAGGCGCCCTACAATTGTAGGGACGACTGACGATACGGGCCTAAAGAACGAGTCAATCAGAGAAAAATAAAATCACTCGGATTCTGGATTAGGCTCTATGCGGTAAACAAAATTTCAACAAAAATAAATAAATCCAGAACCTCAAAAATACTTCACTTACGGTTATCAGAATTACAACTATATCACTAAAACGGAACGCACTGGTTTAAAACGGTTAAACGGAACACCCTTTTAACTTACGCCCTTACCTCTTGGTACAAGGTTGGATGACAGGAGAGAAGAACGGAAAAGAGCCCCGTACATACGTCCACGCTTTTATAACGCTCGTCGATGTTCTAGAACCGGCCTTGGTCGCTACGTCATGCCGTCCGTCACTGCGAATCTTCTTGACGGTGCATTTGATTGATTCAAAAGTATTTCTATTCGATTACTAATGGCGTACCCTATAAAATGAGTGCCCACACCCCTAGGGCATCTCATTCCAAAGGGCTAGATTAGACCCTGCAGGGCCTATAGCTAGTTCTAGACTCTCCCCGATGACCGGCAGTGCATCAGCTCCGTGCAGGTTGCAATTCCCGCACGATGACCATTCTAAAGTGCTTTTAAACATGTACTACAACCAAAAGGGACCCTAGTGCCTTTTTGCCCACTGTTAGGGACCTTACAGAGCTCACAACACCAAGACGCTTGCGTGACAAGTCCCTCAAGGCATCTGAATGTGGAAGAAAGACTTCTCATTCGTTATAAGGGCACTACATGCCCATTTCAGCCAGTGCCTCAATACGCCACTTGGCGTATTGTTTTTCCCCTGCAAATCCCTGAACCTATTAGTCTCGCCTCATAGCGCATTCCTGACGTTCTGAATATCGTCTAGTGCTACCACAAGGCGTAAAAATTGATTTAAATCATTTCACTCATTATAATAATTTCTAAGACGGGAAACGAAAAATATCAATTTCTGTCCATTTCTGTGTGTAACACATGGCAACAAAAACGACTGTGGTATGTCATAAAAACATCAGGTTTGCTGGAGTATTCGAGACTCTTTATAGGATACAAAATAATATATAGAACAGGGCACTATCCCAATTTTAGAATATCGGAACTGTATTTAATGACTAATTTAACATCTTCCAGAAAACGTGAATACGAGGGGCGGTTAAAAGTACGCAAATGGATGATTGTGCTCTTCATGTTTTGTTAAGTGCTGGATAGTTTTTAATGCTAAATAAGGCGAGCAACTAATGCCAAAACTGACAGTGTTCAGAACATACTTCTCAAGTTGAGCGTCTGGTGAAAATATCCATAAGATTTACAAATAAATTGACTTAATGTTAACGGTTATAGCGATTTGTGGCAATCTAAAATTCAGAAGAAGTTGACTAATATCCTTCTGGAGTTTAGGACCTGGCATAAGTGTGTCATTTAGCGATAACTGATTAGAATCCAGCATCGAAAACAACTCTTAATTTTGTGGTAGTTGATTCCGGTTTAAACACGTAATGATGCGGCATGGAATAGTCGTTAAGCAAAGAAGAATGAATGTTATCAGATAAAGACATATAATTATTGTCTATCATGTCTTGTATAGAATTCGTATAAAGAAATGCGTTTTTCTAAAGAGCAAAATCTTCCTCATATTACCACCAATTTTATCCGAAACAATTTCAGCAAAATTTAAAGTAGGCTGCGATTTACTTAGAGGGGTAACAGTAACCGAAATTTGGCCTAAATTATTATACATTTCCATACCTCCTAGTCCTTAAATAGTGGCAGCGCTCATTTTTATCGGTAAACCTAGTTTTTCTGCGAATTAACAACACTCACTACCTGTATCTATGAGTACTCTACCGGTTTGCTTATTTCCCAAATATTAACTTTCAGCGTAGAATGAGCGAAATAATTTGTAGTTGGCTGGGGGATACAGCTGCGGATTCAGGGCGAGTGGTCAGCGTACATTCGGTATTTGAAATATGATTTTTCAAAATTGAAGATTGTGCGATTTCAACTACAGGCGATTAAGGATTATTAGAGGGTTGCGAAGCATTTGTGTATTGAATAACATGAAGCAGCGAGTGATGCTTGGCGTCACATATGCGACATGTATGAACTGACCTACACATACTGTTAGAATGACAATTACTCAAACAGTTCAAATCGTAAGAAGCACACTGGTAAAAATGAAGTCCCATTCAGCTACGGGAGAACCAAGATTTTTCAATGCGGCAATATTTTCAGAATATGTTTTTAGTAGTTTCTTGAGTTGAGCGGGATTTTCAGAATTCATGCGTCGCGTGAAGTTGCTAAAAGCCGTTTATTAGTATACGTTATAAGCTACTAAATAATTGGACGAAGTTAAAGGATAGCACTGTAACATACCTTTAGCAGACCCATCAACAGATGATATCAAATGCGACAATTTTTCTATATTAGATAGAGTTTATTTGCTATGAATTAAGGCATCAAAAACATCAATAAATGACATGGAGGATTTAATATCCGCTTTAAACCTGATCAGTTTTAGTTTAGGTAGTTTCACTCCGGAATGGAATAATATTTATCAACCCCAATGCGAATGTTATCCTCAACAAGAAATTTCTCATCTTGGTCAGGATCTAACATACCAATTATAGTGTTATGGTGTTTATAGGAACTTTCATATGAAGACTCTATAGTTTTATATCTTTGTATGAACTGCGAATGGAAATGAAGGTTTGATACATTTTAGCAGTGTCAAGGTACTCGGAAATCTTATTTATTTCCATATTGCGTAAATTCTTTTCCCTTTTAAGTTTGTCAACTATGGTTCTGAATCAAGACAAAATGTACCTGAGTACTGTCCTGTGGTTACCTATAAACGCAAAAAGTGTATCTAATGAATTAATGCAATTACTGAATATCAACCACAACTGACAAAATGCGCCAGAAAAGGGCGATGAAAGGCGAATCCGTTGAGAAAGATCAAAAATATGTATTCGAGTGGACTGGTTCAAGAAATGATCCGGTATTTTGTTCTAATTCTGGTTCCTATCCCATTAGAAGCGTTCCTGATGCTCTGGTCGGCGTGAAAATCGCGGGTGTGAAACCGGTTGAAGTGCGAAGGTTTGCTGTGAACTTAACATATCGGCATGCTGTATTTGGCAGATTATTTAAAATTGCATGTCTGCCTATTTATAATCCTTGTATGTACGTTAGTTGGCACCATTATATAAAGTATGGAGGGCCAACAAGCATAGAAATGAGCACACTAATTAAAAGTGACTAGCTTATTTACAAAGAATTGTGAATATTTTACATTAGTGTTTTCTGTATGGTTTAGAATTATCAAGAAGCGGTACAATGAAGTGAGACACTTGTGGTTTGAAACACTCAACATGCATTTGTAATAAATCTATCTACTTATATTTTCATGTAATACAATTTTTATACCATTGTCAACAGCATATGAATATTTTTTGAAACGTAAATAAATTTGGTGCTTCATAATTAGGTTTGGATTTTATTATTCCGAACCTGTTTATCTGCAAAACTGCTGAAAGATATATTGGGGATATTTTATGAATATATCGGAAATATCATTTTTGGCAGATTTCAAGTTATGAACAAACGAATTCCCCGGCTGCCCGGCACATTCCTTATTCCAGGCCCATTCTTGGCATTTTTTCGATAGTTCTTCCAGATCTCCAGGCAAGTAGGCAGCGCAGCCATCTGAAAAACGGTGTTGCCATTGTTTAACGTGCAGCTCTCATTTCTTCAGTCTTATGTGTTCTGTGGCCCTCATGTTTTCTGGATGCCAACGTCAGGTTGTTTCGGCAACATCGCATGGTTTTTTATTCTGCCGAATGAGTTGACTCCCCGTGATATACTCTACTTTCTACTAGGCTCTGCAAGACTATCCGGACTATCCGGTAGTGGAATTTTCCCAAAAACCGATACACAATATAAAATAATGCAAATGATAATTGACTCTTTCAAGTTCGAAATAGCTCCGTTGGTACTCATCAGACGTTTTAACATCGTCACCACCAGGTTTTCCTTGTTCTTGTACGTATAAAACTTTTTTTATAACATTTCAGCAAAGTAGCAGAGGTAGCAAGCCGTCCGATGAGCTGGCAACACCGCAATCCAGTTGACAAGAATAACGTGGTCAATTATTGAAATGTATATATCTATCCCGGGATACCGACGGCCCTTTTAGAACGTCAAAGCAGCAATTTTAGAATTATCATTTTTTTTTTTGTTGTGCCACGATTTCGGGAAAAATTTCTTTTAGAGTCTGGTAGAATACAATTCAACAGTTGTCTTGCGTGACCATGTTATCTTTACCCGGGCCAGATTTTCCTGATACGAATTTGCAAAACGATTTTTATTTTTGTAATGCAAATTTCCCGAATACTAAAATCAAATTCAAGCGGATAACCAAAAGAAAATGGTATTTACCATTTTGGGTTGGTATTTACCGATCCGCTCAAGCGAGTGTAGTTATCAGTTTGGTTATAAGATCCGTGACGTCATGAATCAGTTGTTATATGTCATAGTTATCGCTGTAAAATTGTGGTATTTACCCAACTGAGGAGTTGTTTTATATTTCTGGCTATAATTTGAAATGTGACAAGTTAGAATTTTGCCGGGTATTGGATGTTGTTATTGTACTTCAACTTGATACAGGCTGACTTGAGTTTTACATTAAGTGGAGCACCTTTTTAGTTATACTCATCACTGTTATTGGGGACACATTAAATGTAGTTCCTATGCTTAACAAAGTACCTATCCTGTGTAGCCATATATAGTATACCACAAGAATATTAAAATATGGCCATATAAACTCATGATGATGTCCACCTGTATTCGGTTTTACTAATATCTTTTTTCATCATATCTGCTGAATCAATAAATATTTTCTTTGACATGCGGAAAACTTTAGAGAATTGAAAGTTATCATAGCTACAAAGCCATGGTTCCATCATTAAAAAAAAATTCTGAAAAAGAAAACATTTCTCCCATCAATATTATGAAAGGTTTCTTTTTTAAACTAGAGTAGACGAAAAAGCACCGATTATTAAGTGATAATAAAAATAATCAGAGATTATATACGCGCTTTTCTAAAATAAACAACTTGCAACAAAACCGCGGTTAAAACCAACGCGTTCAAGCGATTCGTGTAACTGACGTCATCAACCCGTGTGACATCTTCAACCATATCATAACCGCGGCACATAACACAGACAATTGCGTACGCTGACGATGATGATGATGAGCTTGAATATTTTGATTTGGTAAAAATTAATTAAATCATTTGGTATTCAACTTTTTCATCACTACAATACCAAAAATTTAGCGCTACCTATGCGCCAAGAACTTAAGCTACTTTATAATAAAGTAAAAATCTTTAGATTGAATGTAATGAAATAAAATTAGCTAGACTTATGGTCACTAGATGGCGGCTCGAGTCGGTTTCGGATGTTTTCAGATGATTCGACGGGGTAGTTACGAATTTATGAACTACTCAGTTGACGAGTGAATATACATTTGAAAGATGGTTTTTATTTTTGTAAATAATTAATCATTTTTTATTTTTTAATCAAGTTCTTTTACCGCAAATGGAGCAAACGTTATATCCTTTTTTTAACCCTAAAGTACCTACAGATTAAATTTTAGAATAAAATCAATACATACAATCTCCTAGTTATTGCAATAAAATTGCTAAATTGCTTCTGTTCGTATAGCATTAAGCTCTAACCGTCTCATAAATATGTACATACTGTAACAGTAACTTTGACCGAGGCTCTCGGACCTCTGAACATCGAGCCTTGACTTCGGATCCCCAATTCAATACTTCAATTTCTAGATTGGTCCGAGCCTGCTCGAATTTCCAATTCTGTTACCTTTTACTTGTCTTCCTATAGGAGGTAGACTCGCGTAGAACCTGACATAAAGTAATATAATCTTAACTCATTGAAACACTCACTTTACGTGGAATGATGCTTCCTCTGTTCTTCAAGTAATCCAGAGAACGTGGTAAACGTCCGAATGAATACTTTCGGAACCGCCGAACTCAGTTAGCTTCAGTTAACGAATTAAATAAAAGTCAACTTAGAAGAGACAATTTTTATTGATAATTGAATTCCAGACTCAAAATATATAAGCACTCATGACAATGTGAAACGTAAAACTCACAGGCTCAGGAAAGGATCATTGGAGGATTAATTTAAAGCAAACTTAATTTACAATATGTAAGTTTGAATTTAATAGCAAAAACTATTTAAACTTAAAAATCTAAACTTTACAATGCTAATTAATCAAGGCAATGTATAGAATGCTTAGTTAGCTCAGCGTTATATTAAAAGAAAGGATAAGCCCTTTTGAAGTAACTGAAAGTGCTTACTGATGTGAACACAACTTGACACAAATTAACCAAACACAACCCTTATTAACAGCCACTAACTGAAGGAAAATCAAAGCAACTTTTTTAGCCGTACAAATCAAAGATAAGGGATGAACTGAAGTTTTTCAAAATCGGAGGTCAGTTGCGGATTTCCCCCTCCATCGTTCTTACTTAGTAAGTTCAACCCTTGTTTCCTCATTGGTTGGCCAGTTTACAACCTTTGCAATGGCCGTCTAATTCTCTAAACATGAAAACTGATTTGACCAATAATTGTTACACTTAATTTTTGAACTCAACTCTATTGGCTAGTTACCTTCCCTTGTCCCATCTCAAGGAGTGTCGTCAGCGTACAGTCTTCCCTCAAGTTCATCCAACACGACTTCAGTGGCGTCTCGTGACTCTAGTTGCTCGAAGCAGACGCTGCAGTTTTCAATAATTTGAACGGATTGGGAATTTCTGTAACACTGAGGCCACAATTCGAGATGTCCTTTCAAACAATTATAAAAATTTTACATAGCATTTAGGTAAAACTCACGGTGACCTTCTTCTGTCATTTGAATGCGTTTTAGCAAAGGTTAGCTTCGTTGGAGCTACGCAGTCTTTCGTTAGTTTCACCTACCT